GGGCGGGAGCCGGCGTCTAGTCACTGGGCCCGGAGGAAGGAGGTCAAGGGCTGCACAGTCACCGACGGGGGCCGCTGGCGAAGAGGGACCATCCTGGCGGCAGCAACGGGCTGGAGGCGGGGCTCAGGAGGGAGGGGTCGTGACCCCGCCGAGTGGAGCTGAGGTCACCTTCGGCCCACCTCACCCTCCAGCCCCCCGGCCTGCCCTCCACGCCCTCCGGTCCCCGCTGCCACCCGCACACTCTCTGTCCCTCGCTGGAGCACCCCACTGCTTGTTTGCGCTCCTTGGGGAAAGAAGGGAAAATGCGAGCGTGTGGAGCGATGTGGGCCTGACCCCACCCCAGCTGGGCCGGCCGGGGAAGAGAGGTCGGGGTGTAGGACTCTCAAGCTAAGGGTGCCATGGCCAGAGACCCCTCGTGGCCCGTCTGGGAAGGGGCTGCTCAGGGTGTCTGGCTGCCTTCTCTGTCTCAGCCTGGGTCTCTGGTCATGTCCTTCTAGAGGCTAGTCATCCTGCAGGACAGAGACCACCTGCTGCCACCCTCCGCAGGAAGATCAGGAGTGGATCCTGCTTTGGTCCCTTTCCACCTGTGCTACCTTTGGAGGGTGCACCAGGGAGGGCCGGGTGGACACACGGACAGGGTTAGATGCTGTGTGAACCCAGACGGATCAGAGAAAAGAGGAGCAGAGCTCTCCCCTTATGAATTTGGAAGGGGCCCCCCTGTGGGAGACTCTGGTGACAGGTGACAGGAGTGTCAGGTGGCAGCCTTGACTTGGGAGATCTGTGACTTATGACCTGGAGCTGGGAATGCAGCACTCATGGCCAGGGGTGCCTGTCACTGCAAGTACCTCAAGGCAAAGGCTGAGGACCAGCACCACGCGGGGCTCTGGAGAGAGCTGTACATTAGTGAACTGCCTCTAGTAGATGGGGCCATCAGAAAACACAGGTGGGACTAAACATGTCCCAGTCGAATGGGTCAAGAGTGGGACTTAGATTGTTTAAGGGACCTTAAGGAGACAGGTCAGAATGGGGGCTTGGAACATAAGGGGAGTGACAGACGCCTCTCGGTTATCCTGAGTGTGAAAGTAACAGATTAGACTTGTCATATGTTCAGAGAAACCTGGCAGAAAGAATACTCCACACACGATAAACCACCAACAGACAGGCCCCAAACCTGAGAATCTCCACCCACCAGGGTGGGGGAAAGGCAGGGGCTGCCCCTGTCCTTAAGGCTGGGGAAGGGGCCAGACTCCTGCAAAGGACTCTGCAATGCCAGATCTTGGCAGGTGACAGGTGCCCTGGCATAGCTGTTATCACAAAAAATGCTAGGATTTTACTAAAAGGATTGCAAATGGTGGTAATTTTGGGAGACAACCGCACGCAATGGCATGAGGGAGCCC